AATCTCCTTAAGCTGAACAGAATTGGTTTGATCTCGTTTTCGCAACTTGGTCATTTCAACTGGGGAGGCCTTGCGGAAGGTAATTAGTTCTGCATCCGCTGTCAGGACTTCCAGCATAGGACCGTCGACCAGATATTTTCCCGAAAGCCTGGCCGGCTATGTTGGCACCGATCTGCAACTTGTCAAAATGAGGGGAAAATGCAATCCCTTTACAAATTTTCTTTTCAATCGTCGTGGCACCGCTCCCATATTTTGTGTCCTACCTTCTATCGCTACATCTCTTTCTCTCAACCCCACTTCATATCATCCATTTACCTATTCACAGCATTATATGCTTTCATTTCCCCCTACGTCGCGTAAGAATGCGTCGTGACAAGTGGATTTAGTGAAGCATAATTACCCAGTCAACGGCCTGATGCTGGAAATCATGACTATCATGACAAAGGATGCAGGACCTTCAACAAAGCCTACCCTGCTAAACCGACCAAGTTGCGACCCAGTCTATTCTTGATGTAGCTAAGTTCGAAGTTATATCAACTATTTCTCCCATACGTCACAAACACTGAATTGACTCAGGATTTCGAATGGAGCTTAATAAAATAACACCAACTGTTGGGAGTTATTTACCCTGTTTTGTATTAGATGATAATGGCAATGGTAATTGAATTTTCCCGCAATGATATGAGCGGACCTTACTTCCCCAATGAATTTCGTATAGCCTTGCTTTCCCAAAAGTTATTCTCATCCATGCAGAAGTGGACTGCAGCTTCGACCTCACCTAGGTCTAAACAACACCCCTAACATGACTTGAAAACCTGCTTACTAAGCCTCAATTTTTGTTCGGATCCACTGCCTGGTGATAAATAAAGTGAGATATATTCAACCTATTTCGTTTAAGGTGATGGTAGTGCAGCATGTTAGCTTGATACGTTTACCACTCAGCCACATTGCCACGATTACTCTCGAGTCACAGAGCAGATATGAATTTCAAGGAAGGCCATGCCTTTTCCCATATCACATTCTTTGGTGGGATTGTCGATGAAGCAAACGTATTTTTATTATAATAATCCACTACATTACTTATTCGAAACTCCACTTGTATACGAAAAATAAATAAAGTAGCCATGACAAACCCGCGACAGGGCCATGTGACGAGAGCCCAAAACAAACCAGACAATCCCTCCAACTATATGAAATGGTCTGCGGGCTCAATACCTCCATGTTTCTTTTTGGATTCTCGGAAGTATACGTTATGAAAGTTGCGAACACTCCTTAACTGACTTAAATTAGCCACACTTGCTTGGTCCTGGAGATGAATGGACCAACTGCGAACTAGGCCACTAAAAGCCCTAGGCCGTATTGAAACTGTAGCGCGTTAGTGATGAAAGGCAAAGTGCGATTTGATCATGGGGCAAACAAAATACAATGAGTTAATTATCATTGTAATGAGATGTATTCACCCTATTTCGTGTAAGCTGATGAAGGACTGGTAGTAGAATTTTCCCA